GCCTCTTTTTCATATTTACCCTGTTCTCTGTTCTTCATGGTTTTTAGCACTATCAAACACCATCCATGCAGTTTTCCATTATCTACCCCCCTCCCTTAAATGGAAGTGTCGTGAAAGCAGGGAGCTTGTCTGTTTCATCCTGCATCCCGTCATGGAATCGCGCCCAACATACAGAAGAGTCTTCATAAATATGCACTTGTGAGTTAATTAGCAGGTCGAATGGGAACCCAAACATTCTCTGGGCACATTCCCACTGTGTTCTAGGCACGGTGCCAGGCGCTGGCCAGGGTCACACTGCCAGTCAGTGCAGGAGGGGTGAGCAGGCAGTGGCTGAAGGAAAGAAGTTTTTTTTGGGTGCAAGATCAGGCTGTGGGGGCTGGGACAAAACTTCTCTGGTCTTTTGGTTCCGCAGGCAGCTTCCTCATCTCTGGTCGGGTAGTGGAGTCACCATACTCCAGCCTGTACCTTTCTAAGGCAGGTAGGGGGCAAGTCCAGGGTGACACTGGGGTAGGGGCAGTGGGCCAACAGGCCAGGCTGCACACTGGAGTCCCCTTGCTGGAGCCCACGGGTGCCCCTCAGGGCCTGTCAATGGACAGCAGATCTGCAACCTCTAAAAGCAGGGTCTAAGACACCTGGGAGCCTCTAATGGAGCCTGAGCCAGAACTTCTGGGAAGCCCAGGCGGTAGCTCTCTCTTCCCTGTCTTTCTTTTCCAACAGTGGGAAAGAGATGCTCATTTGCATGTTCATTTACATCTCATCAGCATATGCAACAAAATTTGTATCTCCTCAGCCTATGTCACCAAGAACTTTGAATAGGCAAAGAAATCAACCCAGGATAGTAAAACCAGACAGGGTAACAGGTCTTGATTTAGTTCAGGACCTTCCTTTACTCAATGAGGAAACAGGCCCAGAAGTAGCAGTGACTACTCCTCCATCTCCACCCAGGTTTCTTTCTTTTTTTTTTTTTGAGATGGAGTCTTGCTCTGTCGCCAGTCCACCCAGATTGCTTAGCTTGCCTGTCTTCTCCTGTATAGTTTCCTCCCCAAACTGACATGTGGAATTGTTGGCCCAAACAGGAAAAGTGTCTGCTTGCACCCAGCTCTGGGCACCTGGAGCCTGAACACCTACTGGCCCCTGGCTTTGCTCTTGGCCCAGTTAGGTCTGCAGGGACAAGGGTTTGGGATCCATCTCTGCGGCTGAGTGCTTGTTTGCCATGCAAATCACCCTGTGTGTAAACTCAGTCAACCCTGGCCAAGAACTCTGCAGGTGACCCCTGGTCTGCCTTCCCTAATTCCCCGTGGGTTTCCTAACATCTCAGTGGTGTGGGGAGAGAAGGGCTGCAGGTGACAGGGGAGTGTAGGGGAATCAGCTCTTATGTAACGGCAATTCTGAGATTCAGAAACTTCCTAGGCATTTGCCCAAAGAGCCTCAAAAAGGCCAGGAAAGGTGACAGGTTGTGTGTTCTAGTAGTTAGTGTTCTGCATGAAGGAAGCAGGAGTCCAGGGATCCCAGCCTGGGTCAGGGCTTCTGATGCCCTGCATATTTTTGCAAGGACAGCTTTTACTCCCTAGAACTGATTCTTATTATTCATCTTTCCAATGAATGATAATGGTGACGATAGTCACAGTAAGAGCTGCCATTTATCCTGCTCTTCTGAAGGGGCGGGCACTAGGCTAAACGCCTTGATACATTTTTATATTAAGCCCATGGAGCCACCCCTGAAGGCAGGCATGAGAATCAGAGGAAAAACTTGCCACAGTTCCTATAATTGGTAGGTGGCAGAGCTGGAAATTGGACTTTGGTCTTTGTGACCCCAGACTGCACTGTGTGTACAAATGAGCAGAAGCTCTTTGAGGCGTGCAGAAGTTATGGGAAGAATGGAAAGGGCTGCTTGGATCCTTGTCCATAAAGGGAACATGCCTTTCTTTCTCTTTTTTTGAGACGGAGTCTCACTCTGTTGCCCAGGCTGGCGTGCAGTGGTGCGATCTTGGCTCACTGCAACCTCTGCCTCCTGAGTTCAAGCAATTCTCATGCCTCAGCCTCCCACATAGCTGGGGTTACAGGCGTGCGCCAGCACACCCAGCTATTTCTTCTCATTTTTTTTTTTTTGTTTGTTTGTTTGTTTGTTTTTGTTTTTTTAGTAGAGACAGGGTTTCACTATGTGGCCAGGTTGTTCTTAAACTCCTGGCCTCAAGTGATCCACCCGCCTCGGCCTCCCAAAGTGCTGGGATTACAGGCCTGAGCCACCACGCCTGGCGGGGGGACATGCTTTTCTATGCTAGGAGAATGTGCTGGTTTGCAAGCCTTGTTCTGTTTCATCTGCAGGTGGTCATTCAACATCCAAACAGATGGAAATGATACCCAGAGTAGCATTTTCAGTTAGTGGAATAGGGAATGGGCTTTGGAATCAGATTTCTGGGTTTGAATTTGGGCTCTACCACTAGCTTGGAGACCTCTGGGAAAATGACTTCACCTTTCCAAACCTCAGCTTCCTCATTGCGAAGTGGGAATGGTACTCGCCTCACTAGACCTGACATGAGGATGAAGGGAGGCGAAGCTGGTAACATGTCTGGCCCAAAGGAAGGGTCCAGAGTGTTTTAACTGCTGTCATCACTGACTCTCTTTAATCTGCCATTTCCCATGAGTGCATGTTCCTCATTTATTTCTTTTTTTCAACATTCTTATTATGCTAGGAGGTCCCTGTGCCTGTTCTCATAGTTTGGTTAGTACAGGTTAGAAAAATAAAGTTTTGCCCCAGGGGTAATAATGTTAGCCTGCAGCAATTCAGGGAGCAGAGGAAATCAAGGCCAGAGAGTGAAAATAAACTGTCTTAAAGTCACACAGCAAGTCGGGAGGCAGAAACATGGAGAGGAAAGAGCTTGGCATCAGAAGTCAGGGAGGCCCAAGTGTGGTGGCTCACATCTGTAATCTTAGCACTTTGGGAGGCCAAGGTGGGCGGATCACTTGAGGCCAGGAGTTCAAGACCAGCCTGGGCTTCATATTGAGACCCTGTCTCTAAAAAACAAAAAATAAAAAAAATTAGCCAGGCATGGTGCCATGTCCCTGTACTCCCAGCTACTCAGGAGGCTGAAGTGGGAGGATTGCTTGAGCCCAGGAGTTCAAAGCTCCAGTAAGCTATGATCATGCCATAGCACTCCAGCCTGGGTGACAGAGGAGACCTTGTCTCAAAAAAAAAATGTGGCAGTGCGCAGTGGCTCAGTCCTATAATCCCAGCACTCTGGGAAGCTGAGATGGGTGGATCACCTGAGCCTGACCAACATGGCGAAACCCTGTCTCTACTAAAAATACAAAATTAGTCGGGTGTGGTGGTGCATGTCTGTAATCTCAGCTACTCAGGAGGCTGAGGCAAGAGAATCTCTTGAACATGGAAGGCGGAGGTTGTCGTGAGCCAAAGTCAGGCCATCACACTCCAGCCTGGGCAACAAGGGCAAACTCCATCTCAAAAAACAAACAAACAAAGGAATGTCTGGCTCTGCTGATTGGAGCTATGTGGCCTTGGACAAGTCACCTCACCTCCCTGAGCTACTGTTTCCTCATCTGTAAAACAGGAATTACACGTCTCACAAGGTAGTTGTACAGATTAATGAAATAACAGAAGTTATTTCCATCATGGCTAAGTTGCCTTGCGTTTCCTCCCTGAATCCAGGAATCTATGTTCTCAGCCCCAGGACAACCACACTATTTACAAACTGTTCTACAATGCCACCTCCCCATCTTCTGCTGGTAGCCTGCTCCCAGCAGTCATGTGGGCCATCCCCCTGCCTCTGCCTGAGACCCCCTCTCTTTAGCCCAGCCTGCCCTCCCTTAACACCACTCTTCCTCAAATCTCAGAGAAAGCCTTTCCCTGGTCCATCTCAGGTTCACTGTGCTGTTTGGGAAGTTCTTCCGAAGCCTCTCCCAGAGCCGGCCTGGAAATAGAATGATCACCAGCATCTGTGTGAGGACAGGGGCTTTGGGTCTCTGGACCAACCTGGGGGACTAAGAAGGATGAACGTGGGGTGAGGCCTGAGAACAGGATGGAATCGCACTGTCTGTCCCAGACATCTCTGAGGCTCTGAGAGCGAGAAGGGGCACAGTGGGGGCTTGGGTGGTATGGGGTCTGGGTTAAGTGTTGCGGTCTGGGATGAAGCTGAAGCCTGGAGTAGGAAGATATCTCAGCCAAAGCCCAGGACAAGCACTGCCAGGATGGCTCCCTAGGCCCCACCTGGGGCTGGGCTCAGGGTCCCCCCTCCAGGGCTGGGGTGTCAGGCCTGTGCCTGCTCTACCTACCTGCACATAGTTGTCCTCGCAGTAGTCAGCGACCCGCAGCAGGGCACTGTGGTTGCCCCGCAGAGCCTCCCGTCCCGTGGGGATCTCAAACTCCTGCAGCTGCTGCAGCTCCGCCATCACCCTCAACCTCTCTCTGGCTCCCCAGGGAGCCCGCTCGTTTTAAGCCTCACCCTGCCCTTGATTGGCTGCGCTGCCTTCCCTCCCTCTTACTGCTTTTGGTTTCCTCTGTGTGAGACCCAAACCTGCTTGCAAAGGGCAGGCATGCTCATTCCGGGACAAGAGGAAGTCAGTCCTGCTCCCTGACCCTGCGCCTCTCTGTCCCCTGCCCAGAGGAAGGGGGAAGCCAGGGGCCCATTTGGGGGCCCAGCCCCCAGTCCCACCCAGCAGAGGAAGCCAGGGTCGGGGCAGCTGTGATTGCTCCCTGGTCCTGGAGAGGAAACTGGTCGGTGGGGGGATGGGGTGGGAGAGTGGGGAGGAAGGGGGCTGGCCTGCTATAGGGGGTGGAGGTGGATTTTCCACTTATGGAAGGCGGGAGGAAAGGGCAGAGGGTGGGGGCTTCCTTGGGAAGCTCGGGGATGAGTCACCAAGGGACAGGGGCGTGGAGGGTGGATAGGATATGGAGACCCGTCATACCAGAGAGGACTGTGGGGCAGCAGCACAACAAAAATAGAAAACGGCCAATGCAGCAGCAAGAGGAGCCAGGGTGGACATCGGGAAGACACCGCCAGAGGTTCCAGAGGGGTGTTAGCAAGCCTGCGAACGGCCGTGTGTGATGAAGAGCTGCCCTACATGCTCTGTGCTGATGAAGGCAGAACAAGATGAAATTGACCAAGTGTAATCTGAGGAACTCAGATTAGACAACAGGAAGAACTTGGATTTGAGAAGCACCAGGTTCAAATTCCAGATCAACTTGTCGGTTTTAGGAAGCAGCGGTGGACAGAGCAGCGAGCCTGCCTAGGAGGTATGGGCTGTAGTTCATGCATTAACAGGACACTTGGACCAGACGATCTCCACGATCCTGTCCTGATGCCAAATTCTTAGCACTCCCAGCTGTGAGTGGGACTAGGTTCTGGAGCAGGGGAGTTAGGATGGCCACCCTTTTCTCTGCCCCTCCCACCATCAAGCCTGTCATCCTAGAGAGAGGAGAATAAGAGGACCTCCCACTGACCATGTTGGTCCCTCAAATTCTGCTCCTCCATTGGATCCTTTGTCACTGGGCAGGTGTCAAAGAGCAGTGTCAAAAACAAGGAGGCTCAAACACAGAGCAGGAGCACAAAGTGTTAAATGGCATAGCCCTTGGGTGGTCTTGGGGGGCAGAGCAAGATAAAAACCAGGATGTGGGCCCTGTGCTGGGGAACCCACACTCAGGGCTCAGAGGGAGGCGTGGCAGCAAAGAAGCTTGAACACAGGCATTAGAGGGGGCCACTCCCCAAGTACTAAGCGGCACAGCATGGTGAGCAAGGACGTTTTTATTGAATAAGTGGATGAAGAGTGAGCTAGGAGAGCCTGGTAAGATGAAACTGTGGGGGTCCAATGGGCACATCGGGCGTCTTGGTTAGGTTAGGGGCCGGTCTAGGACTTGCCGCAGGAGGAAGGACAGCCTCAGCGCATGCTCGGAGGTGGGGAGGGAAGGAGGAGAAAGCAGGCGAAGAAGGGCGGGTGAGGCTGCGGGGTGGGAGGCGGGGAAATAGAAGCGCTGGGGGCTCTAAGCTAGTGAGGTCACCAAAAGAGTGAGGCTAATGCAGGGCAAGGTGGTGAGAAGGTGTTTTCTGTTTTCTAATTTGTTTTTGTAGGGAGAATGTCCGTCTCTCTGCTCTGCGGCAGTGAGGGCTTGAAGGCTCAGGCGGGTGATGGGCTTAGAACTTTGAGCCTATGATCAGCTTAGGCATCAGAGATTTTGGTTTCCAGGCCATCTGCTTTATCTGAAGATTTTCAGCTGATGAATAACTAGGAGGCTCAAGCACTGTCTCACCTGAGTTCAGGACAAGCAACTTGGAGAGCGTGCTCTTCTGTGGCAGGTGAGAGGGGCTGAGGTTGCACTGGGCTGGGATCTACTCTTAGAGGTTAGGCACCAGGCAGGCCTTCCTGATAACCCTGCGGTGATCATAATGACAATAGCATTATTAGTGACAATAATAAATGTATTAAGTGTTCATTATGTGTCAGGTAGTATATTATATTTTACTTGCATTATTTTCTCAGGACCTATAATAATTGTATGTGGTAGGTTTTCTAATGCCCATCTTGCAGCTGGAAAAACTAATACTCAAGGAGGTTGAGTGACTTCCCTAAGGCCACATTAAGGTGGGAAGCAACAGAGCCGGGATCAGAGTTGGAGTCAGGCAAGCTCCAGATCCCCTTGTCTCTCTCTCTCTCTTTTATTTTTTTTTTTTTTTTGAGATGAGTCTCACTCTTGTCACCCAGGCTGGAGTGCAGGGGGCTCGATCTCGGCTCACTGCAACCTCCCCCTTCCAGGTTCAATTGATTGTCCTGCATCAGCCTCCTGAGTAGCGGGGACTACAGGCGTGAGCCACCATCCCTGCCTAATTTTTGTATTTTTAGCAGAGATGGGGTTTTACCATGTTGGCTAGGTTGGTCAGGAACTCCTGACCTCAGGGTGTCTCTGAAGACAGATAATTTAATTTCCTCTATAGACAGGATCCACCTATCTTGGCCTCCCAAAGTGCTGAGATTACAAGCATGAGCCACTGAGCCCGGCATTTTTTTTTTTTTTAAACTTTTTGAGACAGAATCTAGCTCTGTCACCTAGGCTGAAATGCAGTGGCATGAGCTCGGCTCACTGCAACCTTTGAGTTCAAGTAATTCTCGTACCTCAGCCTCCTGAGTAGCTGGGATTATAGGCACTCACCACCACGCCCAGCTCATTTTTGTATCTTTTGTAAAGATGAGGTTTCACCATGTTGGCCAGGCAGATCTTGAACTCCTGGGCTCAAGCGATCCTCCCACCTTGGCCTCCCAAAGTGCTGGGCTTATAGGGGTGACTCATCACGCCCAGCCAAGACCTCCTTCTCCTGACCATTATTGTATACTCTCCCCTGCTGGACCTGGAGAAAAAGAGAAAAACTCCCTGAGTCACTATACAAAACAATAACATTGCTTCCCAGATCTTCCTCACCAAAAGGAAGGTGCCCCCTCCTTTTTTTCCTCCTCTGTTTCCTCTGTAGACAGACAGAGGTCTCTGAAGACAGACAATTTAAATTTCCTCCACAGACAGACAATCCAAAGGCAAAAACTGTGTCCCTCCCCATCAGACTGGGAGCTTCCTCCCCTCCTGAGCCCAGACTCATGAAGATGCAGGGCGTACAGAGATGGAGTGAATATCTGTTGAATAATGAGGGGCCTGAACTGAGGGATATGGCAGGGAAGAGGCTAGAAGTCGAGGTGTGGAGGGAGCTGGAAGAGCTGATGGGATTTACGATCCTGGCTGCTGAATCCTTTCCGGGACCAGGTCTGTCTAGGGCAGGATGGCCCAGGATCTCAGCGAGAAGGACCTGTTGAAGATGGAGGTCGAGCAGCTAAAGAAGGAAGTGAAAAACACAAGAATCCCGGTGAGCCTCCTCGCCCGGTCCCTGCTCTTCCCTTCCTGTTCCTGATGAGTCCTGGGAAGGAGGAAGTGACCGGAAAGGGTGGTGGGACTGTTCCAGGGCTACAGAAGCAGCAGGAGGTGCCTCTGGGATGGGGGAGGATGCAGAGAAAGGCTGGGGTTGACCCCGTGAAGGTGCCAGCCTCCCTGAGCACAGGAGAAAGCCTCAGGGCCTTGGAGAGCTCAGCACGTCCAGCCCCTTGTCTGGGCTGGTCCTGGCCAAGCATTCCATGAAGGTCAAGGTCAGTGTTGTGTCAGGTCCAGGAACCCACAGTCCGAACACCTGTCTGTCCCCTGTGTCTTTCTCCTCTTCGGCCACTGTCTCCACCCTGCCGGGAAGCCTGTTTTCCCAGCTGACCAAATCATGGATTCAGAGAAAGTAACAAGCACCATAAACATTTTCTGTGTTCTCACAGGTTTCCAAAGCGGGAAAGGAAATCAAGGAGTATGTGGAGGCCCAAGCAGGAAACGACCCTTTTATCAAAGGCATCCCTGAAGACAAGAATCCCTTCAAGGAGAAAGGCGGCTGTCTGATAAGCTGATGGCACGGAGCCCCGCCCTGAGTGTCTGTCCCTGTTCAGCCGAGCCCAAGTCTCCTAGACCCCCAGGGAACCAGTGAACTGTCACCTTCTCTTCATCGCAGAATGAGTAAAGACCCCTGAACAAATGCACTGTGAATCATTCCCCATTCCCACCTTCAAATCTTTTCTCCCATGATTTCCCCCACCTGCTGGGTCTCTGCTGACCTTGCTGGGAACTCTGAGGACAGTGTGACTGGGTGGGCGGTTGGCCCCATTGGTGGTGGGGTGTGAGGATCCCCTGAGACCTCAAAGGGCAGTCCTTGGGAAGCACTCACATCTCCTTAGAGCCCCTCCGTCTTTTCCCTCCACTCTCTCCCTAGGAAAAAAGCATTTCCACACCAGAGTAGTTTGAGCTGGGAGCAAGGGTTGGGGAGATCCCGTCCCCCCATCTCATGTCTTACCCTGTGGTCCTGTTCCTAATCATTTAGATCACCCCAGGTGGCCTGGTGACAACAAGAGTTTGTGAAGTTATGATTTCATGTTTTGTTTAATATTGTTGAGTAGCCTGTTAGTGCTGGGCACTGTGGATGGAAGAGTGAGCAAGACGAATGTGGCTCCCATCTCCATGGAATTTAGTGGAGGAGACATGAAAAGATTTACAATTAAGTCCATAAGCGCTACAATGGGGAGAGTCAAGGGTGGTGTAGGAACACACCGCAGAGAGACATTCAGGCAGCGAGCAAGGTCAATGTAAATGCCTCCGAGGGGCGCAGAATGGGGGCTGGAAAAGCATGTGGCTAGAGAGGGAGATTGGGGTCAAGTCTTGAAGGACCTTTCTGTGAGCTCAGTAGGAACTTTCTTCTGCATCCTAAGGGCAATAGGAAGCCTAGGACAGTATTTAAGCAGATTCTGATTAGCAGAAGGGAGGCTGGCTCCTGCTAAAGACGGGATGCAGTGATGGATGAGACTGATTCCTGGGCCTTGCCAGCAAGGAAATGACCATCTGACAGAGCGACAGACAAACCAGCACTCATGATACAAGGTGCTCAGTGCAACGTCAGGGACGTCTGCGAGGGATCTGATGGAATCCCATAGGAGGGCTACCTAATCCTGCTGAAGGGGTGCGTTGAGTTCTGGGAAGGAAGACAGGAAAGGCTTTTAGAAGGAGATGATATCTGGAGCTGAGTTCTAAAGGGTTAAGTTGTCAATGGGTGGACGGATGGCACTTCTGGTTGATGAGCCAGTATAAACAGAGGCATAGATATGAGAAAGGACCATGGTTTGGATGGGAGCACCAATCAGGTTGGAGTGGGAATGTCAAGAGGTCTAAATCCTTAGGATCTGCTGCTAGAGAGGGCTTGGAGGTGACCAGAGGGGTCTTGCTTGCTGAACTAAACAAATTTATTTGCTAGGAGTGACTTGGTAATGTTAAAAGGAAATTTTCTTTTTTGGGGGGTGGGTGACAGGGTCTTGCTCTGTCACCCAGGTTGGAGTGCAGTGACATGATTGTGGCTTATCGCAGCCTCTGCTTCCTGGGCTCAAGCAAGCCTCCCACCTCAGCCACCCAAGTAGCTGGGACTGCAGGTGTATACTACCACGCTTGGCTCATTTAAAAAAAATTTTTTTTTTGAGACTGAGTCTTGCTCTTTCTCCACGCTGGAGTGCAGTGGCACGATCTTGGCTCACTGCAACCTCTGTCTCCCAGATTCAAGCAATTCCCCTGCCTCAGACTCCTGAGTAGCTGGGACTACAGGTGTGCACCACCACGCCTGGCTAATTTTTTGTATTTTAGTAGAGATGGGGTTTCACCATGGCCAGGGTGTTCTCAATCTCCTGACCTCATGATCCACCCGCCTTGGCCTCGCAAAGTGCTGGGATTACAGGCGTGAGCCATCATGCTCATCCTTAACATTTTTTTGTAGGGACAGGGTCTCACTATATTGCACAGGCTGGTCTCGAACTCCTGGCCTCAAGTGATCCTCCTGCCTTGGTCTCCCAAAATGCTGGGATTATATGTGTGAGTCACCAAGCCTGGCTGGAAATTTGCTTTTTACAATATTGAACAGAGGGCTGGGCGTGGTGGCTCACACCTATAATCCCAGCACTTTGGGAGGCTGAGGTGGGCGGATCACGAGGTCAAGAGATCAAGGCCATCCTGGCCAACATGGTGAAACCCTGTCTCCACTAAAAGTACAAAAAAATTAGCCGGGCATGGTGGTGCATGCCTGTAGTCCCAGCTACTCGGTAGGCTGAGGCAGGAGAATTGCTTGAAACTGGAAAATGGCAGTTGCAGTGAGCTGGGATTCCACCACTGCACTCCAGCCTGGCGATAGAGCGAGACTGTCTCAAAAAAACAAAAAACGATATTGAACAGGGGGAGAGTGAAGGCAGAGAAGCAGTTAAGGAGGTGATTGTTCCATCAGGGGTGAAGTGAGGAAGGCCTGAATTAGGGCAATGGCCATGAGTCTGGGGGACAGTAGGCAAGTTGGTGAATTCTTTGGGAAATAAAGTTTTCAGATCTTGACATTTCTTTGAGTTATGAGTGAAGGAGAATGAGTTGTCAAGGATGGCATCCAAGTTTCTGGCTTGTAGGGTTTACTAGGTAGAAATGAAAGCGAGTCTCTGAAAACAAACCTAATCTAATACAGTCGTCCTGCATACTACAGTACTACAGCTGCACCCTCCCTTCCCTAGGAGGTCACAGCCCAAATGCCGAGGGTGAGGTCACAGGGCCTCGGTGGTCAAAATCCAGGATGTCTCCAATTCCCAATCCCACCCTGACTCCAGCTCACCATTCTGCAAGCTAGTCTCAATTCAACCACTCTCCCTATACTCTGAGAAGGAAAAGATGAGGAATGAGAAAGAGAAAACATTTAAAGACAGTAATTCTTTCTTCAAAAAATGGGGAAAGGTAAATATTCCATAGGACTCCAGCAGTAAGAAAGGGAAAAAAAGATGGGAGCACCAGTCATGCGGCCTTCGGCCGTGCGGCTACAGCTTCCTTCTTCCACCTGCCTGCCCCGTGTTCTCTTGTCTTCAGGCAGACTTTCACTGGTTGGGGTTCTGGGTCCAGAGCAGTGACTCTAACCTCTGTTCCTGAGGCTCTTGAACCCTTGGTGGGTCTCTGATTAGAGTAGCAGTTTCTTTTCCTTCTTTCTTTCTTTTTGAGATGGAGTCTTACTCTGTCACCTAGGCTGGAGTGCAATGGCACGATCTCGGCTCACTGCAACCTTCGCCTCCTGGGTTCAAGTAATTCTCCTGCCTCAGCCTCCTAAGTAGCTGGGATTACAGGCATGAGCCACCATGCCTGGCTAATTTTTTTGTGTTTTTAGTAGAGATGGGGTTTTACCATGTTGGCCAGGCTGGTCTCGAACACCTGACCTTGTAATCTGTCCACCTCAGCCTCCCAAAGTGCTAGGATTACAGGTGTGAGCCACCACGCCTGGCTAAGAGTAGCAGTTTCTTAGCCCACTGTTCCGCGGGGGAATGTGACCCAGGTGTTCTCTGGTTCCTCCTGTACCTTTCCTGGCTTCCCTGAGGTGTGGCAACAATCACAAGACTCCCTGAGTCTCAAGGTTGGTCATCACCCTGACACTCTGACCTCCTTTTCTGTCTTTTCCTAATGCCATAGGAGCCTCAAATGGCAGGGTAGAAATCTCAGCTTCTAAAGGGATTATGACATTGCGCCCTATGGCAGCATTGCTTTCTTGCATGCCCAGACCTTCACACTATCAATAAGGAGGACAAGAATGATCATTCTGAGAGTGGGTCATTGATGCCAGCTGAACCACCCTTTCCCCCCTCTAGCCTATAGACCCGTGAGTTGTTTAGCCATGAAGGGAAAACACGGTGAATTGTTTCTGGTTCCATTCCTAGCACAGCCGGCAACATTTCTGACAATACTTAGTCTTTGCAAAGTGGTGTCCACCTACCTGGCACCACCCTGGGTCTTTACTAGGCCAGCCTGTCACTCTGTAAAGCCACTTGCTTCTAGGTAACAGACATGTGATGAGATCAGCAAATCCTGTTGACATTAGCCCCAGCTGTGTTTCTTTATGTTTCTTCAGCAGTTTTATCTTGAAGAATTTTAGATTTACAGAGGAGTTGCAAAGTTAGTGCAGAGAGTTCCCATAGACCCTTAACCCAGCTTCCCCTAATGTTAACATCTTCCTAACCATGTTACTTTTAAAATTAAAAAATTAACATTGGCATAACACTGTTGACTGAACTCCAGACTTTATTAGGATTTTCCTAGCTTTTTCACTAACGCCATGCTTCTGTTCCAAGACCCACATTACATTTCATGCCTTACTTCTTTTGCTGGGAAGAGCTTCTTGGTTGGAGTTAGCCTGGTCTAGGACACCATGAGTCCATAGATGGTGGCGTTGGCAGGGAATGCAAACTCAATCCCTGAATAAGTGCCTATTCCAATGAGGACAGTTACTGCCACCAGAAAACTGGATGGTTGCACTGAGGTCTGGTACTGTATGAGGGGCTCAGGGTTTCACTGTTGCCAGCTCATTGGGTGGTCGTGGAGCTACACTGGCCTTGATAAAGAGAAGTCCATGCTGTTCCACCCAGGCAGAGCCTCTATTCCTGCTTCTCTGATTGCTTTGCTTCATGAGCCCTAGACAGCCCCTGGGTCATCCCGTCTATGGCTTATGAAGATCCACTTCTGCACCTTCTGGTAAACCTGTTTGTGACATGTATTTTCAGTTTCCAGGCTCACCTAAAGAGATCCAGCCACAAAGCTCTCCCCAGATCTCCTTGTCATCAATTCACTTATGCTCCAAGATCTTTTTTTTTTTTTTACACTTTTTAATTAATTAATTAATTTTTTTAGAGATGGGGTTTCACCATGTCGGTCAGGCTGGTCTCGAACTCCTGATCTCAGGTGATCTGCCTGCCTCGGCCTCCCAAAGTGCTGGGATTACAGGCGTGAGCCACCACGCCCGGCAATGCTCCAAGATCTTGATCTTCTGACTCAAACCTTAATTGCTTCTCAAGAATCGGACAGGAAGAAATTCCTTTCTCTGCTGACTTTCAGGGCCACTCTCAGAAGGTCAGTTTCTAAAGAAAGGAGAATCGCTACGATCCAGCCACTTGACGTGATTAGGAACTGAATTGGGGAGGACGGGTAAGAATGGAGAGGAGATGAACTGGAGAGGTAGTGAAGAAGCAGAATTTTCAGGACCTAGAGATTGATTGAATGTTGGAAGGCTGGAGAAGAAATTATCAAGGATGACTTCCAGTTTCCTCCGTGGATGACTGGGTGAATGGTAGTGTCACCAGTTGGAAAGCCCTCCCCACCAGGTGATTCCACGTGACTCCATAGGCTTCTCCCCACTTTGCACCCCTGTGGGGGATCACTGCGAGGTAGTAGCAGATACAACAAAAGTGGGCGAGATTGACCAAGAGAACTGTGTGGATTGAGAGAAGGAGGGCCAAGAACAGAGCTTGGAGGAACTCCAGGAACTCAGGCTAGGGTGAGGGCAGACGGGTGTGAAGAGGACCAAGCGCAGAGGGTCAGA